TATTTTCATAACAAATCGAATCAAACCTATTTTTCTCAAATTAATTAAAGTTTAAAAAGAGAAAGAGGGAGTCGAGTCTTCGATTCGCTCTTCATTGGCTATTAAAGTGCTCGTCATCCGCTTAAAACACTTTAACTATATTGAACCCTTCACAATTAAGGTTGAAAAAGAGAGTCGAGTCTTCGACTCGCTCTCTCGATTATTTTGATACGAGGAGCCTTACTTGGCATCCGAGTGATTGTCATCCAAACAAAACATTAACGTATTAATTCAACTTCTCGCCTCCGTGCGATTAAAACATTTTCTTAAAAGAACGATGTTTTAGTCCTTTCTAATGCGCCCACAAACTAAACGCTTAAGCCTCCCCCGCGAGCATACAAGCTAACGTTTCCCCTTTAGAATGCGACCTAAACGTCTGTTCGATAAAACAAACCAATAAGTCGTAGTCCCACAAACTACGGATGCTCTGATTCTTCATTTCTTCAAATGAAGATACGTAGGCACAAGGGCCCAAATTCTTGGCGAGCATCCTAATAAAAAAACCACTTATTTCCTCCTTAACAATCAAAATACTTTTCTCTTACCTTTCACATCATTCCTTTAGAAGAAAACAAATAAAGTTAACTAACATTCTCTCACAAATCGAATTAAGAGGTTCCCGTTAAGTACAACAGACGTAAGGGTGCTAATATATTTCTCTTGCGTAATTGACTCCTGAACCAAGAACTTGGTTGCGATGACTATGTTCTTTCCTAAAAGGTTTTATCGATATTTTCCTATTTCTTCATTAGAATAAATAAAGTTTGGAACGACTATGTTTAAACAATATTTTTCTAGGTCTCATTGTGAAAGATCGTATTTTTCTGTGGTACGACAGTTGGCGAGTCTGCTAGAGACAATATTTTTTTGCATCCCATCGCGAAGGATCGTATTTTTCCGAGGTACGACAATGGTCACCTCATTGAAACAGGCAAGATATTCCCTCGATGACTTTGAATTCCCCTAGTAAACATTAAACATGCTAGTGGTGGACACCTTTCGGTGTTTACTTGCTGAGAACTATTGGATCGATTTCCTTGAGAAATCTTGGTAACTAGTCACTAAGAGGCAGAGGAGGTTCACAAACACCTCATGATCTCCTCCTTGAAAATGTTGGACATGAGCTTACACTTTAAAGATTTGAATGTGCTAATGATCTTCATCTGAGTGTTGATGATAATGATATGTTTTTAAGGGTCACTCTTCTCGTCGAACTTCACAAATGATGGCGGCTTTAAGTTCTCTGGTACTAGATTGCCCCATATCTCAATTGAGAGATGCAGGGGTCCAAGAAAGTGGTATATGGAGTCCTACATAAGGGTATCTTTCACTACCTCTCATTCTGCAATGACACCCTTAAGTATAGGAATGATATGAACACACTTAGGCAATACATCAACTATATGGTCTGCCTCAATTTATACCTCATCAAACACCTCCTGATGAGTTGGCCTTGAGGGTTCTTCCATTAGCACAAACATCAAGTACAAGTGTGTCACTCTAAAAAAACCATAAGATGCAATTGTGGGCAATAAACCATGGTCAAGTCGTTGGAAAAATTCACATCACCTATAAAGCCATACTTGACACAAGACATGGTTGGAGGAAGAGAAATTGAGGGATCCTCTGTACATTTTTTACAAAGCCAAACAATCTCAGTACACACTCGGATAAATGGGGGTACATAACTTTGACTATTGTAGGCTAACCATCATGAATACTAATAGATATCTTCTAACGGACGTGTTTGACGATGTTGAGTGTAGGGAGAGAAACATATATTATCCATCATAATATGATATCTAACACGCATATGAGTTACTGAGGGATGCCCCCTCGATAGAGAAAACACACATGTTCGAGAGAACTTTTCGTCGTAGTAGGTGCAAACATCCCTTGTACTATCCAAACTTAAAAATAGGTTACAACAATAATTATTATGAATTACATATGGAATCTATTAAAAAATTACTACATAAATTTTCGAGTATTACCTAAAAGAGATAAGTATTTTCGGTCCACTTTGTGGTCTAAAATTTCATTACATCATTCAGTTAAGCACAAGTGAATGAGACATGCAACTCCCAAAGAGAACACATGAATTTTGTCTTCCTTTGTAAAGTATATCAAATACATGGCATTAGTATATTTTGCCCTCTTATAAAAAAGTAATTGATAATTGAGTATATGAATAAAGTTGTAATGGCACAAAGTCAATGAAAGTCTTTACGCTTAACATCGTTGTGATGAGCAATATATAATGTTAAATTACAGGAGTACAATTCTTTCAGCCATTTAAACATTACATGATATTCTCAAGTCTAATGAATTTTTTTCCAACCACCTCGCAATCAATTCTGAACTCATTAGCTATCGGGTCTACTACCTCAAACCTATGGATCAGAGTATGATCCAATAGTCACCCTCTAAGATTAAAATGAAGTAGACATGACAAGTTGTCATGGGTGAGTTATCTCACCAATAAGTAGATGAAATGATGATATTTCAAAATGAGATCCCTCGTTGTGGTCTATATTAGTATATATAGTTCACACAACATATTTTAGACCAATGGTGCCCATATATCCTAAATGCATGCCTCATCAAGCTACATCAATGCCGATATCTTCCGATCATAGTTGTCACATTTTAGTGTGTCATGGAACTACTAAAAAGTTGTGTATGTAATCACATCAAATGTTATTTATAATCATATAATTGATACATACTATTTTAAGTTAAATATTTACCTTGATGTTCCATATACGAAGAGCAACATAGTCCTCTTAAGGCGTCTATAAAGATAGATTTGATGGAACCCCAAGAAAACCTAATTCTGAGGGAGACAATATATAAGGCTCGACTTGAGGTTACGAACAAAAACAAATCTACCCTAAAACCAAGAATATGATCATGCAAGCAACTTAGATTAAGATCTAGTCTGAGTTTGTAGTGGAGAAGGCAACATATTTCCCCTAGTCTGAGTATGATCATGCAAGCAACTTAGATTAAGATCTAGTATGACTAGGGACAATATACAATTGCCCCTAGTCATATTGAGAACCCTGAGACTAAGACGAATAGTCTCGGTCAATCTAAGATATAGGTGACTTCTCTCTCCAAACATAGGCATTTTCATGTAATTTTAAATGAAAAATAAGAAACAATAACCAAATGAGAGTTTTCCTAAACATATTCAAAACACAGCTAGAATAATCCTAATTAAGAGCCTTGATCATGGATCCTGAAGCATCTTTACAATGGCAATGAAAATATATTTCAAGATGACTCTCCGGGAATCATTCCAGTTGACATAAATCCATGGCAATGAACCTAAAAAACTATGAAAATGACATATACATTATAAAATTAAACATACATGATAAAAATATATAAAATAAAATAAAAAATAAATAAATAATTATATCATTTGAAAGTATCATTCCGAGAAAAAAAAACCATCTCTAGTAAGGTGTTCCTTCTTCATTCGAGAAAAGAACAATATTGACATATCGAAGAGTCTCTCAAGAAATATTGGAGGTGGAGAAAGAATTTTCCATAAATGGAATAGTAAATAGGGCTAGAAAATTTGGGTCTAGTTGAAAGCTCTAGTAAGGAGTTTCCTTCATTCTGTACTTCAGATTCAAAGGATGGTTAAGCTATCTAGTAGTAAGAAAGTACTATACCTCTTTCAATTCCTTAAATAATGACAGACTTAAGGACCATTGTTAGTATTTAAATTTTTAAAATTGATGATAGAATTGAATAGCATTTGGTGATGATGACAGTATTATTGGCATGTGAGGACAACATTGTATGTAGAGGTGACAATGAAATTCATTTAAATAATATTCATCTAATCCATCCAATCTAACGATAAGACAAAAAATAATTTAATAAATTTAATTCAATCCATCCACTAACTCATATGGATAGATTCAATTCATCCATCTCATTTTATAAATCTATTGGATATTATGTTGTCACTTATTAAATTAAAAATTTTTAAATTAATTTTTTAGATAGATGGATATCCATCCATTAGAAATATGTTAATGGATGGATTGAATGAATTTTATCTTTTAATGGATGGATTGGATTGAATTTTTATTAAAAGAGTTTAGTGGATTGTTAATGGATTAATAGATTGTTTTGATCCATCCATTAACAATCCAATCCATATTCATCCAATCCATCCATTTTGCCACCCCTAATTTTATGTCCACCATGTTGTACACACCACGCAATGTTGTTACCGTGTCCGTGAAGAATGTGCCAAAAAATGCTATCACACACCAATATTAATGTGGCATGTTCCTTTGATCTCAGAAAAGAAAATCCAAACATTAAAATTGTTTTGGATTTTGTTGTAAATGAGAAAGGACAGGATTATGAGACTTCTTTGAAAACTACGTAGGTAGCAACAAAGGATTATGAGACTTCTTTGAAAACTACGTAGGTAGCAACAAAAGCAGGCAGGTAAGTGCATTCTCAAAACCAAAACCATCACGCAGAAACAACTCGATAGTTGCGTCTAAAAGATCCTCGTCTACAAACTCATGGCCAAAAAAGATAAGTCGGTTTACAAACTAACAAAAAAAATACAACAAAAATTACATGTTTGTTAAATACAATGCATACAAGTCACAACAATAAACAACCATATATACAATACACAAGAGAGAGGGGGAGAGAGACTTTATAGCAGAGAAGAGAATATATTGCTTATATCAGACCTGCAATATTGTGTGGCAAATTCCAACCAGCTAACACCTGCCATGTAAAATCAGCAACTTAGTAAGCCTTGGATAACCTCAATAATCACATAAATGAACAACTTTTTAATTGTTAAATCGAATCGAATACTTCAATGTTATTGAACATTATTTTAAAAAGTTATTCCGATGCTAAGTGATATAATTCTATCAGCAGTAAGAATATGTGCCTGTTAGTTGCAGCAATCATTCGCAAGCAATCTTGGTGTCAAAGCTGCTAAGGCATATTGCAAATGCTTCAAAGGCGGAGATTGGATACTGGTAATCCATGGTAAATACATCCTTTCCAACTTTTCCAAACTGCAGAATAACATTTTCTTGGGCCTGCTCAGAAACTCCGTTATTAGGAGAAGCAACCAACTGGAAATTTTTAACTGAAGCAACTGTCACACGTCCATTGAAGTTCAAACACCAGCATTGGAGTTGTTCATGCCACCTAGGAGCCTTGTTTCTTAACACCAGCATTCCCTCATCTTGACTAGTCAAAGGTACTACCGATTGGAGATTCTCTGCACGGGTTGATTTTGATCGGAAGAATGGAATCGATGGAGAACTATCATTTCTGCTGTGAAGAAATCGAGTCTGTGTCGGGGCCTCGCCTCCAGGTTCAACAGCTGCGGCAGGGATGGCATCCATAACACATTGCATTATCCTAGGTCCCCTGTTAACATTTTTTTAACTAACTTGTAGTTATTCTAGAAAAACATAAGTAATAGTAACAGGGAAATAGAGCCAACTCTTGAAAGCAAACTGGGAAACATTCAATAACATAGAAAAAGCCAACGACGATTTTTATCTGATGATTTTCAGACCACGATATACTCTTTACCCAAAAGAGAGACATGTTAATAAAAATACTAATACCTAGAGCCCAAAACATTCAGATCATATGAGACATGCACGATGGGATAGTTGCCTGCAGGAACTCTTGGAGACACTTGCTTGAGACTAACAAGCTTAGTGGAACGAGACTTTGCAACTTTGGCTCCATAAATTGGAGGGTGTGCATCATACACGGTAAATTTGGTGCCCAGAAAGTTTGATCTATTACCATTTAACAAAAAAAATACGTTAGACCTAGAAGATGATAAATTCACAATTAACAAGTCATGTTATAATGTCAACTAAAATACCTCAATTTCCCAACATAGGTGCTACTCCCTCTTGATACATCATCAAGGTTTAGAGATATGATATAGTCAGTGTGGGTTGCACGCCGACACTTGCGTGCAGCAAGAAGGAACTTACCGTCATCAGTTGAGGCTGCAAAATGAAATCAACATTACAAATGCATAAAGCCAACCCATGTGTCACAACGTTTAGAAAGCATCATACCAAACATATTAAATTTGAATCTCTGGTAGCACTCACCTTGGTTTAAACAGAGAAAAAGATAATATGTTTGACTGTTACGATTTCGTTTGATATAGCACTGAATGAGAGAGTCCCTTGGACCAGGCTGCATGATGACAATAATAAGTCAATTATAGCTTGGGAATGAAAAGAGGACAGTTAATACAATTAATGGCCTTCCTAGCAATAAATTAAGAACTTTGTAGCATCACACCACCAATAAAAAATTTCAGAAATAGTAGATGAGAAGAATAGTTTTAGTCGAAGTACAAGCAAAGCAACTTCCACACCTTCAACAACTACAATGGTATGTAGTACAAATTTGTTCTACTAATATTACAGAATATAGCCAATCCTTATCAAGTTTGACGATCTGATGTAAATACAATTGTAATTCCTTTGGGTGATAAGAAAGAAACTAAAATTTTGCCCAAAACAAGAAAAAGGAAAGAAACTAAAATTAGTTGCATGCTTAAACTCAAAAGTTATATTGGAGATTGTTTCCCCAATTCAACAAAAGTTGATAAAGGTGAAACACAAGTACAGACAGCACTACACGCATTAGCTAGCTGCTATTTGACAACACTTTGTCCTAAATAGTGTATCGCAGAACAAACGGTTGGTTCAAATCCTGCTACGCTATAGCACCAATAGAGCCAGACTTTGACAACACTGATGTCAAAAATTTATTTATAGTCACCATGAGTACACGTGTTTATTTATAGCCAACAATCGTTCTTGCTCTCTCTTACAAACTCAATGTCTTCGAGTGAGGTATACCCACCCACCAAACTTACACAACACCCAAAGTAAACAACCCATCTCTCAACTCAACCATACCGGCTCAACAAATATGGGTTTTATTGGTGTAATTTCATCAATGTAAGAGCAGCATCATGCAAAAAAAAAACATTTGTAAAACATCATAACTAATCAACCTTTCTCAGGTAAAGTACCATCATCAAAATCAAATATATTGAAGAATATAATGATACTGCTGTCAAGAAAATAAAACCACTTCAGCTCAAAAGAATGTCTAGTCAATCACAAAGCTTGCTAAACTTAATTCAACAGACTACAAATCCCAACAAAAGAACAATTGCAAGTTTGCAGCTGAAAATAAAAAAGGACATATCGAGATGGTGATAAGTGTTACCTGCTTCAAGGAGATAGGAAATGTCAACTTGCTGGATGTTTGAGGAGGTTTAACAATTTCCCTCATGAGTTCTCTCCAACTCCGACAAACACCGGCACATGCAACAACATTTTTCCGGGCAGGCCAAGCATCATCCGAGGTTTCGATTCTCATTAGCACATCCCTCAAAAGCTCAGGAGGCATGTTAGCCCAACAACTCTGCCTCAATCCATCAACCACCAAAGAACTATCGGTAACATTAACATCACAGTGTGACTGTGATTTTGATCTCATACTATACCCAAATTTCATCTCAAATCCCTTCCTATCCATAATCATACTCCTAAACGACATCTAACCTCAACCAACCCAACCCAAATTTTAAATTCTACTAAATTACCCAATTCATCTAAACCTCTGATACATAAAGATTAAATTTTCAGCATAAAATTCTCCTTTTGTCCGAGAACTATAAGTAACCATAATTGCATGTTCAAAATTTAACTTACATTAGGGAGAATTTCGCAAATAAAAACTGAAGCAACATAAATAAAAAAAATCAAGTAATCAGACCGAGAAATCGGAAGAGATGAATTTCTTTCGCTTGTTCCATGAGAAGGAAGTGTAGATCAAGAATTGATTTGGGAGTTGAAGCAGAGAGATGGCAAAGTAAAGTGAGAAACTGAGATGGGTAGCGAAGGGAGGAATGTCACTGTGTGACGAAGAAAATGAAGTTGCGTGGGCTTGTGGAGTCGGAACTTATCCAATGGGTTTGGTGTGTTACCAATCAAATCTTGAGAATTTTTCGTGTCACCCCCTTAGCTATGTCAGACACCGCCCAAATTATCACAATATCAAAAATATCTCTTTCTTTTTTTATTTATTAATAAAATATGGTATGTATTTTTATTGATATTTTCAAAAAAATTGATAAAATCATATTAATTTTCAAGTTAAAAAAAACAGGTGTAAAATATGATAGTTTATATCCAATAAATAAATAAAAACAAAGTTATGGATTTTTTTTTATAAATCTGATATGTGTTGTAGTTTTTCATATTTGAAAAGTCTAAGTATAAAATAAACTTATGTCATTTTTTAAAAATATTAGGTATAAAATCCTAGATTTTGAAAAGAAAAAAAAAGTATGCTTTTATATTTATTTTATAAAAAAATATTTATAAAAAACGATTATATTTAACGGTGGACAATTCTCAAAGGGGGATCGGGTGCAGGTCTCCTCGTTGTAAGAACTTTAAGTTCTTAATTCCTTTGCACATACGTTTTTGGAGTGGATCTTATCATGATTGGATTTTACTATCCTTGGGCTTGTGGTTGGCCCGAAAAACTTGCACCCAAAAATATTTCATTATGTAGAAATGAAGAGAATTTTTAGAGTACCTAGACGTTGTCTCACTTGATTGTGGTCCTTGCGACTGATTCATATTTTGAAGAAGTGGAAAAGCTTGGGAGTGAGAGCATGTGACCTTGGGAATACACGCATTAAATGCAAGTCTGATCACTGGACATTTTACAATAACATTTTGCTATGTGGTCTTATATCCCTTGGGTATGATTGATATTGCGCTTTAGAGTGCTCAAGTGCAATCGAATCTCGTTATGATCTCGAGGTGAAAGTTGTTCATTGATTTTTGTCTGCCTACCTTCCTTCATTTTAGGTCATTGATTTGTTTCCCTCGCTCTATTTTAAAGGCAGTTTTTCTTCTTATGTTACGTTTCACCTTTTGCATAAACTGTCTTTTTCTTTCTTCGCCAACTCTAATCATTCTTCCTTAAACTCTAGAGAAAACTTACTCTACCTGTCTGTCTTTCCTTTTCAAAAGTTGGAACTCCTTTGATTCCTTACGCTTTGAGCGATTTTCATTGTAACTTTAGCTTCACATCTTCAATTTTCTCCAAGTAGCATTTCTCTCCCTCTTATTTACTATTGTCGTTTCTTGCTCTTTCTTTTTAGCAATGACAATTTTAGGAGATGAACTTACAAACAGTAAAGGTATACCCAGTGAAGATTACATAAGTGATGCATGATCTCGCACAGGGGTGGTAGACCCAAAAAAACAAGGTATTCTCTTTTGGGAGGTAATCGCCCTTTAGCCAATAACATAGTCCTCAGTGATAGTTCTGAGTTCATGGATGCTTCTATCGAAAGTTGTAGAGGACCCGTGAATCCCCATTTTAGGGGAATTTCAGATAACTTTATAAGAGGACTTGGGTGGATAATTTTGGATCTTCCCATTATCAGAGAAGTTGGTCTTAGTTCCCTTTATTATGCATTGCTTGTAGTAGATCTTGAGCCTTTTGAAGTGTATCGGGATGAGCTGAAGGTTCGCTCTTACATTAGGGATTTTAGGTATTTGCATGGTCAAAAACCCAGTGGTAAGGAAGTTAGGGAGTATCTTCATTTTTGAGGTCATTCCAAAAACTTATGGCAAACATTTTATGTTTGTTAATAGTGAAATAGAGATGGTTTGAAATGGCCAACAATGCCTTGAATTTCTTGTCGATGTTGCTCATTATTGTTGGGTGGATATGAAATTAGTGGTTTGTTTCTCATATTGAGTCCAAAAAAAAGTTGTGTAGCTCTTTTAATGGATGTTCGATGCCCTTTCATGAGTGTTATTTTCCATATTGAGATTTAGGCTTTCCTTCAATGATTTTGAAATTGAGGTATTGAATCACTTGAGAATCACTCACTTTCAACTGCATCTGGTAATATGGCATTTCTCAAAGGTTTTCCAACATTGGTACGAGTATTGGAATGGAGTGCCAACTTTAAGGTTATTTTTCAACATAACATGTATTTTTGCCAAAGAAGGGAGGGGCAATGGGTGTTCTCACTATATCATTTAAAGACGGTGTTTGACATTAATGTTGATAGTTGGAAAAAATTTCATAGATCAATAATTTTTAGTTTTCCTTGTGAATCCTGAAGCCCATTACAACTTTGTGTTCTTCTGGCAGATAACCTTGTACTTTCCATATCCCCTAGTTCAAAGTCGGACAGATGTGGGAATAGATTTCGGAAAGGTTGGACTCGAGACCATTTCTTATAGACTTTGATATAATATTCATTCCCATTAGAAGTCCCGACTCTTGAAGATGGGGGCATTGAAGAAGGACTTGTTCACCTTTTGTGAGATCCTATGTTACAAATATTGAGTTGGCCTTTCAGATCGTGTCACCTACGCAAGGAAAGAGGCGACACATTGATACACAGTCGAATGTAATAGTGGCCAATATGCAGGAAAGAAGAAAGCTTTTTAGTATGTGTGTGTCTATATGTTTGTGTGTGTGTGTGTGTGTGTGTGTGTGTGTATTTGTGTGTGTGTGTGTGTGTGTGAGAGAGAGAGAGAGAGAGAGAGAGAGATTTCATCTTTTGTTTGTCTTTACTACTCTTCTTATCATTTGACATATCCTTACATTCATTTTGTTTTGCAGATAACATAGGGATAAGTCATGATATAATGAGGAGGAAGAAGGTACATGTGATAAAGAATACTCCCAAATTTTCTCCCCCACCCATCCCTACTCCAAATTATATCAAAGAATTGACGTGCATTACCTTGGATAAGACAAATGTTCAAATAGGACTGATCCAAGTTGGTCAATAAAATAGGTCATACCCATAACGTCTATCTTTGGAGATATAAAGTACAATGTTTCATGATCGGTTGAAGCGCCCTAGTGGTTACCCTCTAATAGGGAACATGGAAACAATATGACTTTAGGATGGAAATCCTTCTAAAAGGTCCAAATTAACATAGATTGTCACCGAGAAAGTTATCATAGATGGTAATAATTATTCCTTTCCTTCTTACTTTCTTTCAGAGTTCTTCCTAATTAGGGAACCCCGCACGGCCAAGGAAGTGCATTTTTTCTTCCCGAAAGGGGGTTAAGCTTACATTTGAATCTTGTTTGATACTACTTAGTGTCGCTACTGCGAAAATCGGCGCCGGCTGAACAGAAGAGTCGCCACCGTGCGTTATTTATCCCACGGGAGGGGAAGGAAACGCTCAGAGTAAACCTCGCACAACACGGGAAAGGTATGGTCGTCGCAACCAAAACCTGGATTCGGGAGTCGGTTACGCAAGGGGAAGGTATTAGCACCCCTCACGTCCGTCGTACTCGACGGGATCCACGCTTGTTTTCGGGTATGGATTGTTATTCTATCTAAACTATGGGTCGAGGGTGAAAAAGAAAATAAAATGAAAATAAAAATGACTCGGCAAAGTATCGCACTTTATGCCTACGTATTCCCGTCTGGAACGAGAAATCAGAGTCAACGTAGTTCGCCTACCTACGGGAAAGGAGGGGAAGGTTGCTCGCTAGGATATCGCATCCTATGCCTACGTACTTCCACACGGCATGGAAGATCAGAGCAAACGTAGTTCGGGCCACGTACGACACAAGTCTGTCCTTGATTGATTTTATTCCTTCTGAAAAAAGGTTTTCTTGATTAACAGTCCAAGAGGACAAAAATGACGCTTTGATGAGTTCACATTCTTTTACGGAAGAAGTGTCTTTTATTGTGCTTGAAATCTTTTATGTGTTTTTCTGTTTGTTTTGAGAAAGAAAGAGACAGAACTCTAACCTACAGTTGCGAAGGGAATCAAACTAACCTAATGTTATCATGCATGGGTTGAGACCTAGTGTCTATCATGCTCCTCTCTTGCACAGAGAGAAACAGAGATCCTAAGGGATAGGCAGAAACAGAAACAATATCAGATATATACAGTAAAGCAGTAAAATGCATGGATGCAACAGTACAAGCGAGGCAAGGGAGTCCCACTCAACCTCGAACCTAGAAAACAATAGGCGAAAGTGAACAGGCTTCACTTTCAACCTAACAGGGTAAATGGCAAACAATACAACCAGGAAATCCAAACAATACATCAGCAAAGAAATACAACAGCATCAGCAGCTCTGACTCAACATCTGACTTCAAGTAATCTCCAATCAGCTACAGGCTTCAACAAGCATCAATCTTCATTTTCATGACCTTCAGGCAAGGGCTTTGATCATCTGTCTTCTATCTGCAATGGCTTTTCTTCAAGCTCAAACCTCCAGGAAGAGGGATCAGTCACAAGAGTGAAGTGAATGAATGTTAGACAGTTAATTACCTACCAAGGGTGGTTCTTCAACTGTTAACATTAAACAGAAAGTTTCCTCTCAAAAGTTCTATCTTTCAAATATATTCACTGATCCTTCCAAAGGAAAGAGGTGGATATTTGAAAGAGACTTTGAATCATAGAGAAAGGATGGATGCAGACAAGGCATTCCATGTTTGAGAAACAAGCTTTCTAATCTAGAGCTCTGCCTAGCTCCTAAACCCT